CCTTTATATCACCTAATTTGCAGCGGCCATCAACTAACACAGTGTAGGAAATACAATTGGGAACAATATTGGATTTTTCTAGAATCCGAAACATCTCTTCAGCCTCCAAACTCCTCCCTGCCTCAAAGAGACCGTCCATCAAAGTAGTAAAAACTACCACATCAAACATAATACCGCGGACCACCATTTGACTCTGAATGCTATCAGCAGCAATTCCTTCCCCAGCTTTAAACAAAGCATCTAAAAGAATCGAATAGGTGACATGATTAGGATCTATGCCCATCCTCGCCATCTCTCCAAACAGTAATTTGGCTTCCGAAATTCTCCCAGCTTTCAAAAGAGCATGTATAACTATACTACAAGCTATTACATCGGGAAACAAACCAGTCACCAACATATCCTCATAAATGGAGAGCACTTCCTCAACTCCATGCTGCTTACAGTAGCAACTAAGCAATGTAGAATAGGTTATGAGATCTGGCTGTAAATTCAACTCTTGAAACACCAAGTCCTTGAGCTCATCACATCTATCTTCATTATCTTTACAAACTATTCCACTACTACGAGACTGCAATAGCTCATCCAAGAGCCTCTTAGCACTATCAAAATCTCCTACTTTACAAAACCAATGGATTAAAGTATTGTAAGTAATGATATCAGGCATCACGCCCTCTTCCCTCATTTTCTCCATCAATCTAAGAGCACCATCTATGCTATCTACTTTACAATACCCATGAATCAAAGAATTAAAGCCAATAATGTCTCTACGTATACTACCACTACAAGTAAACATTTCCATCAAATATTCACCAGTTTCTACAAAACCCATATTACAAAATCCCTTTATGAGTATATTACAAGTAAAAGAATCAGGCTCTAAACACCTCTTAACCATCTCAGAAACCAACCCAAACCCCATGTTCTGGAGCCCATTTTTGCAAAGTCCCCATATTACGATATTGTAACTAACATTATTACTTAAACTACAATTCCTTAGCATTTCAAGAGCTTCTTTAATTTTCCCAACTTTACACATGGAATGAATGACTATATTACGGGTGCCCACATCAGGGGTGACCCCGGAAGAGATCATTTCTGAGTAAATAAGCATCACCTGATCAACTAAACCAGCGTCATTGAAGTGGGCCAAGAGGCGGTTCCAAGAACGCAAGTCAGGAACAACACTGTGACTTCGCATAGCTGAGAAGGCGGCAATGGCGTTGGTGAGGCGATGGCAACGAAGGTAGAGGTGAATGAGCGTGCAGAAGAGTGACGCGTACAGGGTCCTCGATCGTACCGGCACCAAACCCGGAAACGGTGAGGACGGAACCGAGGAGAAGCACATCTTTACCGGCGGCAACACGGATGGCGAAACTATTTTGGTGCGGAATTGGCGTTTGATGAAATGCCTCAGTGGGTTTTGCATTATGATGCTTGCAGAAAAAGCATCATCCTGTATGCGATTCTCCCAGAGGAATTTTCAGAGACTACAGGTGATTCTGAGAGCCTGTTAATTGTGTTTGACTCATGCTAAGATGGGTTTTTGCCGATTTGTGAGTTCTTCATTCTCAGTGTCAGTATTGTTGAGTTCTTCTTTCTGGAGGCGAAGCGAGGAAGAGGCGGTTTATTCGAGTGGGAAAATCAGAGCACTATGTTGGGCTTATGGGCTGCTTGTGGCTGGACAAAATCTGAGTATGGACCTAACATGATGGGCTATTCTTGGTCCAAAGGCATCTTTCCCGTTAATTTCTAAACCATACTTCATAGCTCTTGAAATGCTAAGGAATTTTATAGGCACGAGTAACTTTTAATCCTTTGGCCAACTTTCCAACCTATCGAGATGCCTATCATGAACGAAAGGATCTGTTGCCGATGGTGGACACTCTGCAAAGAATTATTGATTAAGGGTGATGATTCTGTCATCCAGGACAAAAAAATACCTCCCTTGCCCCTATGAGATCAACCTTATCTGCTCTCCTCTTCGGCTCTCACTCCTTTTTTTTTGTTTTTTTTTGTTTTTTGTTTTTTTGGGTTTATGATCAACTACATCTCAACTTGTTTTCTATTATCGGCAGCGACGATGATGATGAAATTTGTTGCTTTCAAGGGTAGGCGACATAACAATAATCCTCCATCTTATTCGCAATGTTTTTCCCGTGGAATGAGTTTTGAGAATATTTGTCCGGTGATTGCATAGCCTAATTTTTTCTGGGCTAAATCACGCCTGTCAACTCTTAAGTCTATAATCAAGATTTAAAGATCCTGTCGGTGAATGAAGTCATATGCTTCAATTTGATTGAGATTTCAATAATATATATAAGTATTTTTTTTTATTTACTTTCGTCCTTTGCTTGATAGATTTTTTTAGATTAAAAGACTTCTCTGTACAAAACTGCAATGTGTTGAATTCGATGCTCGTACCGCGTCTAAACTTTCTGAATTATACGTTTACTGCAGCGGCTCATTGATCTTAGCGAGGTTCATCTTTCTTCCATTGAATTTGATAGACTGTATAAGGACTTTTGCTTTTCTAAGCTTGACAACTCGCAAAAGTTTAATGCAATTGTGCAAAAATTTGATTTCTAACTTATATGTCTGCGTATTATGCAATTGGAAAAAAAACATACTCCCTCCGTCCCATAATTATTGTCCACTTTGCCCAAAAAATTTTATCCCAAAATTATTGTCCAATTTGACTTTTTATGGATCAAGTTACACATTTGTCCTTAGTAAAAAATATTATCCATAAAATCTTACTGGTTAAACAATTACTTATGTAGGGGTATATCCAGTTGTTTAAGGTAAAATATAGTTAAATTTGACAAAAAATAAAATCTTTCATTTTAATAAAACTGGACAATAATTATAAAACTGGACAATAATTATAGTACGGAGGGAGTATATTTTTGTTTTGGATGCTAGAATTTGTTTTGGCAAAATCATCTCGCATTGATTAATTATACACTTCGCAGAAATCTGTGCATTGTTGAACTGTATTAGTTAAATATCATAATGGATTTTTTTTTTTGCTGGGTAAAAGAGATATATAATGTGCGGAGAAAACAAATAATAACACGATAACAGTGTTTTATGTGTTCATATCAAGAATAGAGAGCTCAAATTATCTAGCAACAACAATAATGTGTGTCGCTAAACCACTATAGTTATGGCTTTTGCGTAGCTAAACCTTCTTTTGAACGTGATGGAAGTTATCATTTGAAAAGAAAATACAAATATGATCGGCTACTATTTGGATACATATTGCATACAAATACTATTATCCGGCCATTTCGCTTTTACTGCAGCCGACATCATGTGCTTTTAAGTGAGTTTGATCGAATCAAGTAGATATTGGTTGTTGTCTTTCTTTTATTTAATGTTTGGAAAATACGATAACTTAACAAATACTTAAATCAAGTAACAAAGGTATTGAATCCAGTTTACTTTATGACCAAAATTAACCTTAGCACTTCCGGAAGGAGCATACCAAAATTTGCCATTACAGTGAATTTGAACAATGGGATTTTAAAGAAATGGTAAATTGTTTTCACTTGGCAGCTTGCTTGAAACAAATGGCAAATTTGCATGAGGAATGGTCACCAAGTAGCGGCTAAGCCAAGCCAAATTTTGTGACACGCACACACACACACACCATGTTATATACTGTATTGTCGGTTCGACACTTTCGGTCCCCTTTTCAACATGTCCCTTTCATTTGGTTAATTAGGCCAAAGAGGGGCACGAACCAATCTCAGCAGCAAGCACATGAAGATGAAAGTCCTAAGAAAAGCAACATTAATCACACATTACCATAAATGCTACCCTTTATAGACACAAAGAAAACAAGCCATTACTGCCCACAAATGTGCCCTAAAAAAAACCAAAGGTTTGTGAAAGATATATTTGGTCTAACTTTGAGATCTCTTTCCTCTCCCATGCTTGTATTTTTTTAAAATGGTTTCCAGATTGATTCAGTTTTGAAAGGAATCGTGAAGATCACATGAGAAAGTGATGGGACAATTTTGTCATTCTTTGTTGTTGTTGTTGTTGTTGATCGAATTCTTTTGTCATTTTGATAATGTAGTTGTAGGAGTGTGACAAAATCTAATTAGCCTTGTTAGACCTACCATCCTATAAGGTTCTAAGCCAAAGTCTAACCAATTGGGGACCTACCAATGACGCTTTTTAGATTCCTTAAGTTGATGACTCTTTTTAGCCATGTAAAGTTTGATATAATTGATGATGAGTTCCGAATCTGCTGATTTCAGTGTCATCATTACATTAGAACATCTTAATCATTCATCCACAATCAACTTGTTATGACTGAATAGACCGAAAGATCTTACTTCTGATACTCGTGGTTTACAAGACAATTATTTTGGGACGGAAGGAGTACAACTTGACACAGAATCAATTGACGATAAGTCGCAAAATCTAACAACAGTGGAATCTAGTGTTTAGTTGAAGAAGGACTTTGCTAAGCTGAAGAAGATAACGATGATGAAGGGTTGATTTCTTGGTGCAAAAAGATCAGTCAGTCAGTCAGTCACATTTTCTTTGTGTAAAAGATACAAGACCAAGAAAATATTATGATGATGTTAGATAATGTACAAAACAGAAGCCTAAAACTTTGATTTACAAGGATTGACTGATAGAGTACCATTAATGGAGTAGAGTGCCATTAATGGAGGGGGAGAAGAACAAGAAACACACAGAAAGGAGAAAGAAATAAAGGTGGTCCAGTTTTACAACCACAACTGCCTTCTTCAGGGGTTTCTTGGAGTAGCATTAAAGACACTGCAGTACTCTATCAGACTCTACATTCAACTATTGCATCATCAACCGGATTTTTACAGAACCAAACTTATCTTATTAGTTATTTACATCTCTTTTTTCTGCAGAAAGAAAGAAAGGCAAAAGTATGAGTTGATTTATAAGGACAACCCAGAAAAGGTGCTTTCATTTCTTCATGATTCATAAAAAAAGAAGAAGAAAGACAAATGGATTATTATTATGGTTCTCAGATTCTCCACATGGTCTTCTTCCTCATCATCATCACCTTCTTTCTCATAATATCATTTCATTGTACCCACATTATGATTGCCACTGAAAGTCCTGTTGCCTCATTCAATTCTGCAAACTACTTTAGCAAGGGTGGACTAAATGAGGTGTCTTTGAGACAAAGCTGTAAAGATGAGGCAGGAATTTATCTTGGAAAGGTATCAGTGGAGAACGGGAATGAAGAAGAGAAGGGCTCAAATTTGGGTAAAAATTTCAGATTTTTGCTTGGATTGAAGAATTACTTTCAGAGAAAATCTAGAGATGTTCATTCTGAATTGGATCCACCATCACCATCTCCTGCTCCTGCTCCTGCTCCTTCTCCAGTTCATTTATTTTCTCACCACCACCAAAAACCTTCAAATCATCACCCTCATGTAACCCCAACAGCCCACATAATTCCCAAGAAAAAGAAAGGGAAATCAAGAAGAAGAATCATCATTGCAGCAACTGTTTCTGCAGGAGTTGGTTGTTTGTTATGTGCCATTGTGCTGTTCTTTGGTTGCAGAAAACTCAGGAAGAAAAGGAAGAAAACAACAAAAACTCAGTCCATATTTTGCTCTGTAGCTGGAAACTCAGCCAAAAAGGTACGTTCTGATCCAGATGGGCCTGATCTCTTTTATCTTGAATCCCTTGGAGCTGCATTGGAACCACAACCCTTTTGTCTGAGACAAAATACAGTCACAACATTGAATGCATGCTCCAGCCAAAACATTCCATATTGTGCTCTGACTGAAAGATCAGAACCTGAACCAAAGTTTGTCAATCCAGAAGCTGATAATATTGAGATAGAAGAAGTCAAGTCTGCTGTTGGTGAAATTTCAGAATCAATTATTAATGTTGTACCTGTTCAAGATAATGTGATTCCTGATGCTGCTGCTGCTAATGATTCCTCTGATGATGATGATGATGAATCTTTTCATTCTTTCTCCAATTCACAATCATCTGAAAAACATTACTTTAGGTCATCCAATGCATCAGCAGATAGTTGTCTTGAGTTCTTGGACACCATTTGTCACAATGATTCAAAAGACTTTGATTCCCTAACACCTTCTCCATCTCATTTGACAAATCCCTCCTCAGGCTCAGCCTCTATCTCAGAAATGAACCAAAACTTAAACCAACAAACAAAACCAGCTCTTCCTTCTCCTCCTCCTCCACCACCACCACCACCACCACCACCAACACCTCCCCAGGTCTCATTTCTGCGTAAAACGCCTTCTCCTTCGACATCATCATCATCGACAAGGAAGACGTTCAACGGCTCAATTTCATCAGCATTGTCAAATGCATCGTCACCTGGGATCTCAGGTTCACCTTTAGGATCAGATCAATGCCCACGGAGCAATTTGTCACCATTCACTCCCCACGGAATCCCTTCTCCACCATGTCCTCCTCCTCCTCCTCCATTTCTACAGGGAAATTCCAGCTCTATGAAAGTTCCACCTCCTCCACCATCCCAAATTTCTCTGACTCCATTGGGCAAAGATGGAATTCCACTTCCAAAGCTCAAGCCACTTCACTGGGACAAAGTCAGAGCCGCGCCAGAACGGTCCACAGTCTGGGATAAGCTTAGATCAAGCTCATTTGAGTAAGAGATTTGAAATGGTCCTCCTTTTTTTTTTTTTTTTTTGATGATGTTGTCTAAAAGGATACACTGACCGAAAACATATTGCAGATTTGATGAGGAAATGATTGAATCGCTTTTTGGCTATAATCTGCAAAATTCTCTCAAGAATGATGAAGCGAAATCAAAAACTCCTTCTCCTAGCAAGCATGTCCTTGAGCCTAAGAGACTACAGAATATAACTATACTCTCCAAAGCTCTGAATGTGACAGCTGAACAAGTATGTGAAGCACTTTTGCGAGGTAATATGACATTTTAACTTCAAATACCTTTCAGAATTTCAGCAGAAATTTTGTTCCCTTAGAGCTGCATTGCACCTTTTACCCTTCTAAATGCTATACACAATACGATGATGATCATGATCTCTTTAGAAATTAGAATAGGATTCAACCAAATCAATAACTTTCAAAGTTATTGCAGACAATCAAATAAACAATATTGATCAGTATCTGTTTCTATTGCTACAAGTGCAGGAAGTGGCTTAACTCTACAACAACTCGAGGCCCTGTCGAAGATGGTACCGACAAAAGAAGAAGAGGCGAAGCTGGCGAACTACAAAGGAGACAGCAATGAATTAGGCTCTGCAGAGAAGTTTGTCAAAGCAATGCTTCAGATACCATTTGCCTTCACAAGGATTGAAGCCATGCTTTTTAGGGAGACTTTTGATGATGAAGTGATTCACCTCAGAAAATCTTTCTCCATGTTAGAGGTAGTCAACTTTTATACCTTTCTTTGTTTTTTTTTTTGTTTCAGAATGTTAAAACAGGTTGAAATTAAACAGAGAATTTTCATATCAGGAGGCTTGCAAGGAATTAAGGTCAAGTCGCCTCTTCTTGAAGTTATTAGAAGCTGTACTAAAAACAGGAAACAGAATGAATGTTGGAACCATAAGAGGAGGAGCCAGAGCATTCAAGCTTGATACACTCCTTAAGCTTGCTGATGTTAAAGGAACAGATGGAAGAACCACACTTCTTCATTTTGTTGTTCAAGAAATCATAAGATCAGAAGGGTTTAGAGTATCACAAAGCATAATGGGAAAGATCAACCAGATAAGCAAAGGCAGAAACAATGAGGACAAAGAAGAAGAATACAGAAAGATGGGATTAGAACTCGTTTCGGGTCTAAGTGCAGAGCTATGCAATGTGAAGAAAACAGCAAGTATAGACCTGGATGTTCTGGCAAGCTCCGTATCGAATTTATCCGACGGAATGGCTAAGTTGAAACAGCTTGTGCACAAGGACTTGTCAATGGAGGAAGACAGAAAAGGGAACTTTGTGCAGTCGATGAGATCATTCTTGAGCTATGCTGAAAAGGGTCTTAAGGAATTACAGCAAGATGAAAACTCTGTTTTGTTGCGAGTCAGAGAAATTACAGAGTATTTCCATGGAGATGTGAGTAAAGAGGAGTCTAATCCACTGAGAATTTTTGTAATTGTGAGAGATTTTTTGGGTATGTTAGATCATGTGTGTAAAGAGCTTAGAAGCTCAAAAGCTCCTAATAATAGTCCTAATCCTCTTGCTCCATTTAGACAGTGTTAAGAGATGTTTGATGGATTCACCCCCTATTTATACCAAGGTTTGCTTTTCTTAAAATTATTTTTTCTAGGGAAAGTCAAAAAGGGTTTTGTTTGTATTTCTTGCATTGTGCTCCAATTTGGAAAAATGTTTGGTTGCAAAATTTCATATCGATATATGTCAGATATTCAGAAACTAGGAGTTTCATGCCCCGCGACATGAGTGTTTATTTTACTTTTAAATGAAAGCATAAAGTAATGGTGTCAGTTATTTTACAAACCAAACAGCAATTTTTCTACGTTAATCGGGTGGCATATGAAATAAAAAACAGAACTTCAAATGACAATGAAATTTTGGATATTGAAAAGAGTGGACTTGTCGCCAGCGGAATGGAGCTTCCAATTAATCCAATCCATTAGTAGAACACAACATAAATGATAAAAAAGATTGTGAATTAAGCTCATATACATATTTATAAGTAACTTCGTCTCTGTTGCCTCTCTCAGTCATATTATCAAACAAATGAGGAGCATTTTGCTGCAAAACGCACCCCACAAACTAACTTAGCGGAATAAAACCATGGGCAATTTTACAGCTTATTCAATTGCTATATAAGATCTAAGTACCGATTGGTAATTGCTCCGATGGAGGAATTAAATCACCTACAAATCATCACCAGAACAGAATCTAACTATTGAAAAGCCAATTATTACTTGAGATAGAAGTCCAAGGCTTCAAATTCTGGACAACAATCTTGTATAAATCTTACCGAAACCTACCTGAGAATCAGGAATAATGATGACAATGTAGGTTTGGCTGCCTCCTCAGCGGCTAATTGATTCTGCTTTCGGAGGCATAGGTTGATGGGGAGCAAGCGGAGGTGGACAAAGGGGAGAGAGACGGGCTGATAGAGAGAAGGAAGAAGAGGAGACGACAGAGGAGGGAGTGACGTCAGTGACGACAAAAGAACGAACGAAAATTACTGTAGATTTTAGGATTTTCCATATTACATTAGTAGTGGGTTTAGTTAAAAGAGCAATGAGTTAACAACATTTTACCCTATCCCTTTCAAAAGGATTGACCATCACATGATTACCGCCTTTTTTTTTTTTTTTTCTTTTACTACATCCGTCCCAAAATTATTGTCTAGTTTTGAAAAAATTTAAAATTTTATTTTTGGTCAAACTCAACCAAATATTGGCAAAAACTTCCAAATATACCCCGGATACGTAATTAGTTTTACCGACGAACGGAGAGATTTTTCTTTATTCTGTTGTGGCTCCCCAATCATCGAAAAGTTTCTCGTAGGCAGAGATCGAATAGAGCTGTAACTCTTCCTTCCTTCCTTCTTTCTCCCCTTCTCCAATTTTGCCTTTTTTTTTTTTTTTAAATTTCTTTGTCCCCCAATTTAAAACCCAATTCCCATTCCATTTTCTCTTTGTTTGTTTTTCTATTTCGTACGAAAAGATGGAGAAAATTATCGTAAATGAAAATGGATAGTGGATGGGAATGGGAATGGATTCTGTACTATGCACCACCAAAACGACGATGATCCGTTCAACTGGAACACAACGGCGGAGTCGGTGAAAGGGATTCATTTACAGGAGGTGAAGAGAATGATGAATGAGTACCAGAAGCTGGTGGTGAAGTTGAGCGGCGAGACACTGACGGTAGCGCAGGTGGCAGTAGTGGCGGAAGGCAGCGGAAGAGCTTCACCGATGAGGCCATCAATTGTGATAATAGAATTAAATTTTCAGATAAATCCACTAGAATTCGGAGAAATTTGATACTCATCTATTTGATTATTCTATTTCGTTGGATATTTTTTGGATTGATTGATTGCAGTTTCGTCTGAGTTTGTCGAATTTTTTTTGTATATTTTCCGATAACCAGGCTAGCTCTCATCACCACTTCAGCCGTCAGAGTTAAGCCTTCGTTTTTTGCGTAATTCGCTTCCGCAGTGTGAAACGCAATGGGAATATGAGATAAAAATGTTTCAGTTAAATCATTGATTTGCCCTAAAGGGTATATGTGTAACTGAAGTCATAAAAAGTCAAATCGGGCAATAATTTTGGGATAATTTTTTTATGACAGAGTGGATAATAATTTTGGGACGGAGGGATATATGATTATCTTTTGACAAAAAAAACCATGACATAATTACCCGCGGTAAGATTCACACTCTTGACTTTTGAGATAGGCTGGGGCAATAGACACAAGTGGTTCAACCTCAAGTTCAAATGGAATTCATTGACAATTTCATGGAAGAGTTGAGAGAGTTGATTACATATTTTACAAATTTACAATCTTTGCTTGTTACCATTCTCCATTAACATCTTTAGCTGCTACTAGTCTTTGGAGTTTGCAGGTTAGTGGCGTCGTGCTAAATTGACGTTTAAAGCTAAGTCTCGTTTGTTTTCTCGCACCAAATAAAAAAAAAAAAAACAGAAGAAGAGAGAAGTTTATTATTTTTATTTAATAAAAAAGGGAAAATGGGTCTTTTCATCCCAAAGTTTAGGCCACACCATCTAAAACATCCCAAAGTTTAAGAACATGCCATTTATATCCCAAACTTTTTTAAAAACATGTTACATTAGGATATTCGTTAAATTTTTAACTCCAGTTAATTAATTAATGGTGGTACTTTATTCTGTTTCTCCTCCTCTAATTCTTTTAATCATTTAACACGTTCCACTAACTCCCACCTTATAAGAAAATAGCTAAACCTAATTTGGTCTTCACATCATGCATTCTTCCTTGCTTAGAAAAAGAAAAAAAAAATCCAAGATTCACCTTCTAGATTGATAACAATCATGAGAGTTTTTGTGTGTGTCCTAATTAGAGAGTAAGCCATATTTCATTTATTCTTTTAAATATGTAGCATCATTATAAAAATTAATGTTGTAATTGATGCAGGGTAAAGTAACTTTTTTGCTTGGCATGAACCAAATTTACCAAACGCAAGCATAAAACTTTTTTGACTAAAAAAAATGAGAAAAGAAATTGAATGAAATATTGCCGTTAATAACTTCAAAAAATTAACAAATGTCCTAATATTACATATTTTTTAAAAGTTTAGGATGAAAATGGCATGCTTTTAAACTTTGGGATATTTTAGATGGTGTAGCTCAAACCTTGGGATGAAAAGGCCCATTCTCCCCTTATAAAAAAATATATATACATAGTACTATACATTTCTTTTGGTGCATAAAAATGTAGTTATAAAGTTACATTTTTAATTTAACTGCACATTGAATTGGATGACCATGCTATTTCCTCGATGATTTTGTAGTATATAAGTATACATAAACCCTAGTCCCAGAACAACTCCAATGACAAAACCAAATTATCAAATGAGTATTCCTGAAGAAGATCAAACGCTTGCCTACCAAATTGCAGCAGCAGGTAACAGAGATACGCGATTTCGATTGTTATTATCATAGATGCTTTACTAAAGCGTTTGTGAATATCTATTCCAATCGATCATTTTACTGAAATGCGATTGATCATATCAATTTGAGTTGCAATAATGGTTCAAGCGATTGTGTGAAAAAAAAAATTGCTCTTTTCTCTTGAAATTTGCTTTTAGTATGGCATACGATCATATGGGTCTGAGTGATTTCACCCTGTCTATTTTCTTTTCCGGCCATATGACATTCAGTTCGTGATTTTTTATTTTATTTTTTTTTCGTGTTTCTACTAAGGTTTAATCTTTGTGATCTTTTTTCGTGTCAGCCGCAAAAACAAGAAAAGCCAGATTGGTGTCGCTTTTTCTAAGAAGTTAGTTTCTGGATTTAAGTTTTGGTATATTTGCTTATGTTGCCATTGAATCTGTTCTTAGGATTTGAATTAGTAGAAATGAATTGCCATGCACGTGGATTGTTTTGTCTAGGTTAATGTTGGTTTGGTTGATTTTTTTATACATTGGAAGCACCAATTGTTATAACCCCAGTTTTGGGATGGGTTTAGGTAGAAGGTAAAACCTCCTCCAAATTAGTTATCACTTAAGGGTACGACAGATTACTTGTTTCCCCTAGTGATATTGAATGATTTTCATTTATAAGCTTAAAATAACCTTCATTTATCGTTTTCTTGAGGCCTTTTGAGTAAGTAGTTATGTGTTGGTTGGATAATTTGTTTTGGACTGAAAACAGTTGAGCCCTGTGTGTTGCCCAAAAGTTAGGTATCCTAATGATTACACCGGTGCGGTTCTTTAACAGTGTTTTTTCTGTTCTGATCTCGCTTTTTCACAGCTATGGGTGGAGGGAGAATAAATAATGGGAACGGTGTGGTGAGCGCTGAATGTCATGGAGTTGGAGTAGAGTCAGTTTCTGTGCAGCAAGTTGATGCAAAAGTTGAGGCTCTCACTAGAAGGTTTGATGATCCCCTTGCAGTTGTTAATGGTGCACCGTATACAGCTGCAGAAGTTGATGCAAAAGCTGACAATCATTCCTCTCAATCACAGTGGAAAAGGGATATCAAACTTGATGTGGACATTATCAATGAGTTTCACTGTTTGGAACAGTCCCATCAGAGTGTTTTATCGTATTGTGAAAAGTTTGAGAAGATGGTGGAAGCACTGGTGGCCATGGATTATGGTTTCACTGAAGACTATCTCATTTGCAGTTTTCTGAGCGGGCTTAAGGAAGATCTTAGATCTTTAGTTTGCGATACCAAACCAAAGACCCTGTCTGGGGCTTTTATCTGTGCAAACACTCTGGAGCAACATCCTGGAGTCAATGAGAAGTTAAGCTCATCAGAAATGAAGGTTACTGAAGAACATTCAATCAAAGTTGATTGCTCTTTCGACGACTCCCAAAAGTTGCATGGTTTATCAGGAAAAAAGGGATTAAGCATCATATGCTGTACTGGCATTCCATGTAGCTTGCTCGACAGCAAAGCAGCAGTAATGGCAGGCTGCAAGTTGGAGGAAACTGAACCTCTGCTAGTGAAGTTTGTCGCAGGTGGCTATCAGGCTGCGAGCAGATTCAGATCAAGGTTTAAGTTCGCGATTGAAGGACACGAATTTGAAACCGATGTGAGGATCGTCAACTTACGAGGATCTGACATGGTGCTAGGCTGCAACTGGGTGTATCATTATGATGTCGACATTCTCGCTGGCGAGGAAGCTACCTTTGTCAAAGAAGGAAAGCGATTCGTTTTGCTGATGCCTTCCACCCCCTGATTCTTCTCTTCGAGAGTATTATCATGCTTTACCAACAACTGAAGATCTAAAACTTACAGTTGAAACGATGAATTGTTGGCTAGCTAAACACTTTTTGTTATGAGCACGTTTATGTGGGCGGGTTAGACACAATCACTTTGCCCCCATTTGGTTCCATATATTGGAACTAAATTAGAATAATAGGTACAGAGTTAGATGTGAAATTCTAAACTAGCTCTTTCTCCATTTTTGCTAAAAGCTTCATCATTCATACCTTCTTGTAATTCTCCAGTAACTGATTTGCCCTAGAAGTAGAAGATATGATCCATCAGCACACACGAAAAGCTAACGACATGATTATATGCTACACCAAGAATCAGATTCAAGAGCAACATTTTTCCGCAACTGCACATAAAGTGTATCTAATATAGCATTTTGAGTAAACTGTCTCATAATAGCAACTATTAGCAAGCGCTTGTACCAGCAATACGTCTATATCAAGTAAGAGATGGATCAGCACTACATCTTGCCTAAGTGAGAGATGAACAAAAGTCATGATTCAACGGCAATCAGAAACTAAGTATCGACGCCTTCCAAAATATCCACAGAACCTACGGTTAAGATTCTCCATGAAGTGTTAACAGAGGCTTTAAAGTTCGTAAGCTGGAAACTTAGCATTAGACGGTTCAATCATGTCCAGGAAAAGAGAAGCCATCCCCCCAATTCCTTCAAACAGCGAGTACGGATGATCTCCTCCACACATCTTCCCTTCCGACAGACGCTCCTGACCTCTGTCAAGCAAAAAACTGGTAAACGATTTTGCCTTAAAACGAAACCCAGGACTTCCAGTAAGCTGACAGAGAGCTTGGAGGACGTAGGTGTTTCCACTGATTCCATGACAAATCCCGACATGCCTAAGAAGCCCACGTACCCACACAACCTTCTTAGCAGCATTACGAGCGGCATGCAAAAACAATTCATCGCCGAAAAACTGAGAATACAAGATTAACAAGCTTCAGGAACTAGCTTTTATAATAGATCAAACTTCGATAAAATATAGTTTGATATCAGATAATAAATAAAGGCACAAATTTACAGCTCCTCATGTTTTGAACCCTGTTAAAATTGCTGCTATTATATAGAGCCAGGCCTGCCAAGTTATGCATAAGGATGCACTGCAACTTATCAGAGACAACCAGAAGAACGAAACAAAAAGTAATGTAGAGAACCCAATGAAGAATAGCAGCTAGGAGAGCACTTGAGGGCATAGAGTGAGATATATATATATATATATATATATATATATATATATATAGCTCTGCAGAAGAGATTGAATCACAAACGCTAAATGAGCAGAAGCACAAACCTAGTTATGTATGAGCACAAGCAAGCAGAGATCATGAAAAATGCAAAGGGATGGAAGGGCAAAACTTAGAAGACTGGAAGAAAATCTGTAACAAATTGATGGACAGTATTACTTACGATTCTTACTCTGTACCAAGGTTTTGTTCATAATATTTTTGTGTTACCTTAGCAGCCTTGGCAAGTGTAAGTGCAATTCCAGGTGCTCCATGACACCAGTGCACCAGTACATCACTCTTATCTTCTTCACATGCAGGATAGTTTCCACTGGGGAGCTGATTGTTTATCATATAAACAAGAGTTTCCTTGACCTCCTTCCGCTGATTTTCAGGTAAAGGGAAGTGCATCAAAACATACATGATTCCTGCCACTCCGTGAGCAGCACCCAAGTACTTCTTGCCATTCCACTCAAACATAAATGGACTTCCATCCTTTCTTCCCAATTTTCGCCCGTTACTGACGATTTTCTCAATAACAGGTGCCTGGTCATTCACTGGTTTATTATTTCAGCTGACAGGGCATGATGAATGAAAGATTAGACTTACCATTTCATGGAGCAAGATGATCTCTTCGCCTAAATGTTTATTGATGAAGAGACATGCCCACAAGTATCCAGCTCGTCCATGCAATAGTCCATCAGGAACATCCTCTGGCAGTTCAATCTGTCCACAAAGCGAACTAGTTTATATAAGTATGCAAGTACCTGAATTGCCAGAAAAATTAAAGGCTAAACTATCACCTAGAAGATAAACCAACACTACTAACCATTCTGAATTTACTGACATAGTTATCCATCAGCTCCTCATCCTTCATGCTTTTTGCAACCACTGCACCAAGAGCACAAACACCGGCTCTCCCGTAAATGAATGAAACATCCCTAACAAAGATCATGTATTAGAAATGAGACGAAATGCCAAAGGAGAAGAAAATGCGAAGTAGAAAACAGAATTGAGGGACTAATTTCTACATGGGATTTCCTTGAAGGATAGTGTATTATTCTCTTGTTTTAAGGACTTCATTTTAGTAGAACATTCCTGTGAACTTCATACAGAACCAAACCCCTGATTTTTTGCTCAAGAGAATAAAGGATAAAAGAAATACAGAACACTCTCTCTCTGCTTCTGATTCCCCTGTGACACTTAAGTTCATCTCCTATCCGGGAGTGGAGACATTGATTAAAAGAAATCACAACAAAAAATCTTTCAAAACTGCATTCTTCATCTAACATTGTAAGAAATTGATAAAAAGTAGTCTAGTTATCTCTTACTCCTTCTCATCTAAAATAAGAAATTTAAGAAAAGGCAGCATTTTTATGCCCCAAACAAAAAATCCAGTAGCACTACAAAACTCACAGAGCAAAACCCGCAAAGAATTTGTAAAATTAAGCTTGATTTAAAACAGAGAAGAGAAATACCAAAAAAAAAATAAAAATCAGATACCTGGAATCGAGAGAAGCAGAGTCACAAGCCTTGATGATGTCGGAGGAGAAACGCAGGTCGTCTTCGTCGCCGGTGACACGAAATGACTTCCACAGCAAAAATGCAGTCCCAAGAGCTCCAGAATAGAGGGAGAAATCGCCAAAAATTTGGCCCTGAAGCGAATCCCAAGTCTCAGCAACCACAGTTTTCTTCAGCTCCAAAGCCGCCGCCTTCAACCTCTCAGCTAATCGATCATAAGTGGTGTGGAGCAGCATGAACAAATGCTCCCCCGATCCGGGTTCCGGAAGTTCCCCTATCTGCTCCAGTTCGTCTTCGTAATTCGGATTTTCCAGAAGAAATTCTAGGAACATCTTCCCGAAGTTTCTCAGCGCCATTTTCCTCTTCTTCCCTCTTCCGAGAAGAAAAGAACAGAAAAATTCCAACTTTTCCTCTTCTCTTTGAATGAGAACAAAACCCTAGCAGTACAAAGCACTTTGGATTATATATTTTTCAGTTTTGGTTGATTTAGTTATGCTTTTTTTTTGCTCCTTTCAGAAGGTACAAACCTTGAAGCACAGGGTACAAGTTTATCTGCACAACATTTTACTTCTTGGTCAATAGTGGTAAAAGTAACATTTTTGACCGGAAACAAGTCTTAGCTCGTTTACTCGTTTGCTTTCTGGGAAGACTTTTAAACGGGCATCTCTGAATATCTGTAGATTCTGAAGTGCTTTACGACGTTTATGTGAATATCGTAACATTATATATGTATTCTCTAGGGAAAATTCCTATTAAAGACGTTGCAATTTTAGTAAAACTTAAGAAGGGTGTAAAACTTTTAAAATTCCTTTTAGGGGCCTAATTATTATTTAAGACGTGAATATTCTCTTTCATGATAATTTTACCCTTAACTTAATTACATTCTCTCTCTCTCTCTCTCTCTCTCTCTCTCTCTCTCTCTTTTTCAAGGAAAGAATACGTATTTATTTTTATTCACTGATTTCTGAACTTAGTCCTATTCTAAACATTCTTGGTTCCCTACATGCTAGGGTAGCCAAATTCTTGGGACAATGTCAGGTAAATTGTAACGGTCTATAATGCAAATACGGATACGTTCTTCATGGCCGATTGTGTTTGAAACAGTTCACACTAAGTTTAACGATGCTGAAATCTATAATAGAATTAAAAAATGGCAACTCCCAGGGAGAGAATCTTGATAAGAGATGATGAGAAAATCAAGATTATAGAGTTCCAACAAAAATCATGATTATTAAAAGAATTCCATCATAGAAAATATTAAGAAAAAGTAGATCATTTAGTTTGGGAGACATTGCTTGATTGGTTCGTAGAAAATTATAATAAACGACTAAGTCTACAAAAATAATTGAGGTAAAAAATTACAACAATGCATTATCTTATTGTGCCGATCAATCAATTTAAGTAATTGTGAGTAAAAGGACATTGTTCAAAAGTGTTCAAACTACTCTCATGGCATCGTTTATTTTGGAAAATTGAATATGTTGTAGGATTGAGTTCCAACACAAGAACATTTCTTATTTACCAAAAAGGAAAATAGAAAGTGAATCCAACGCAATAATGAAATAGTATATATGTAATAATTATAACGAAAAGATAAAATTGTCATTAAAGATAATTTTCACATCTCAAATAATGGTTACGCCCTTAAAAGGAATTTTGAAAGTTTTACACCAATTTTAGAAATTATAAAAGTTAGAGCACCCTTAAGAATAATTCTCCCTTTGTATTGGTAGTATTACCAAAGATAATTTTCATATCTAGTTTACATGTTAACTAATTTATCGTATAGATTTTTTCTCTTCTAGCTATGCATGGAATTGTCACTTCTAGCTTCATTGTGGAAAGACTCTTTTTATTTAGGGAAGTTTTAACTGTTTTTTCTTAATCATATTAATCATACAACATTATGATTGCAGAATAATCTTTTAAGTTTGGTAATCCTTCCGCACTTATCTTTTTTTGGTTAATTATTTATGCATGCAATTTATCAATACACTTTGAATTAATTCTTATTGGTTTGTGTCTTAATTAAATTGTTTGTCCTACGAAGTGTGGTAGTTTATCTAGTATTTAAGTCTTAACCTCCTTTGTTACCAAAAAAAATAGTACAAACGCACCAAGTATATAGTAATTTCTTCTATTATCTATAGTGTGTGTATATATAATATATATTATACTAAGAGAGAAATCAGAGAGAGAAAACAAAAAAGAATTCTAAAGGTGCCACATAGGATAAAATCTTATGTGTTATTTTTCTAATGGTTGAGTCAAAAAATATTTACAACAATTATACTAATAGTCCTTCAAATTTTATGTAAATAAAATTTTATCAAATGGCATTTAAAACTATAGTTTAAAATAGGAAAATAAAAATTAAATAAATTTAATTGCCGGGATTAATGAACATTAATGCACCAGAATTATTTCCTCCCCAAAAAAATCCCCAAAGTTACTACTGGACTCATTTAATTAATTTCTTTTTAAAAAAAATCTCCCTCCCAATCATGTAAATCAATAGACTACAATTCAAAAAAAAAAAAACCAATCATTCAACATTAATGTTATCTTTAAAATCTTCTCTAAAAAACATGACCCTGTATTTTTCGCCAATAAAAAAGAAAAAAAAGGTACAAAACTTACCTTCAATTATTACTAAAAGGATGGGATTTAACTATAATTAAATGTTATCTTTTGAATTTCAAACCAATGCATTTATTTGTGTAATATCATATTTACTCAAATAAATATATCTTTTCTTAATAATATCTCAAAAGTTGTTATAAACTTTATCTTTATCACTGAAATTTTGGATAATCAATTATCATCAATCCCAATTTATCTCTATTTATTTCCACTTTTGGATAGTAAAATATACTCCAAAACACCTACATTACTGATGGATTATAAATAAAGATAGTAAAATTCATTTTACACTTTTTATATTTTTTTTGTAGACTTTTTATAATGTATATAAATAAATCCCGCGCATCGCGCGGGTTTAACATCTAGTTAGATACTTATTTCTAATTTTTTTAATGACCTGTAGAAAACATATCGACATTAAGGGCTTACGTCATGAAGTGGCCTAAGGCGCGGGGTGGGCCATACATATAAAAAAAATTCAGGGCCAATGTTTTTCTAGGTTTACATAAACCCTCGTCCATATGCTGGAGACGTTAAAATAATAATCCAAGCTAAAGAAAGAACAACGAACAACCTCAAGAAGTTCGTCTCGTGATTAACATTTACTGACTATCAATCCAACGATGTCAAACAAATACAAATTTGCAGGGGATTAGCAAATATGTGACTTCGATTGTTATTAGTATTGTATTATTATTATCTCTGTTCTAGAAAAATAGTTCTTATTAAGTTTTGAGATTTGTATTATTTAATATTGTTACCTCAGAAACATAGTCCATCTTTAGAAAGTCTGACTATTTTTTCTTTTTATTTTATTTTTTACAAAGGTGTAATATGTTTAAGAGTTATACATGACGAAGTGCTTTTGAGTTTTAAGTATCTCTACTGTTTAGCTTCGCTTCCCACGCAGGTGGATTATTTTGTTCAAGTAGGGTTTTTTGTTTTTTTTTTTTGTTTTTAATATTACTCTCCCGTTCTTATAAATGATGCATTAACAGTAAGTAGTGTATACCGATGCAAACTAGCTTTTTTGGACCTATGTAGAAGAGACTAAAGCTCTTTCGTTGATGAATAATTTGTTTAATTTAGACGGCAGATTCAATCCTGAGTAGTATTGCTTATGAAGTTCGTTGTATCCTGTTAATCATGTTTCAGACTAGTACTAAGTATATTTGCCTTTTCTAACATTTTCTCTGTTCTCATCTTGCTTTTGATAAATGACAGGTTTATGCGCTACGGATAAAGGGTCGAGAAACAACGAGAACAGGAGAGGTGAGAAGATTCCGGATGCTAGTACCGATTCGGCTCAAGCTGCAGAGTGCAAGAAAAGGGATATCAAACTTGATGTGGATATTATTCAGGAGTTGCACAGTTTGAAGCAATCTCAGACTGTTGAAATGTATCAGAAGACGTTTGAGAAGACGAGGGAAGCTCTAATAGCCTTGAATTATGAGTTCACTGAAGAGGACTTCATTTCCAGCTTTCTTAGTGGGCTGAAGGAAGAAATCAGGGGATTGGTTTTGGATGCCAAACCAAAGACTCTGGATGATGCTTTCGGCCTTGCACAAACAGCGGAAGTAGATGTTGAATTCAAGATGGAGACGTTAAGCTCACCATCAAAAACCAGGATTACTCAAGACAAAGAGGAAACTTCACCTTATGATACAAGCGATTGTTATTGCACATATGGTCACCCGCTAAGGTTTTATGGTTTAATAGGAGAAAGGGCTTTTAGGATCAGTTGCCATAATGGCATTGAGTGCACCTTGCTCGATACCAAAGTCGCAATATTGGTAGGATGCAAGATAGAGGAGACCGAACCTCTGCTAGTGAACTTTGTTCATGGTGGCTATAAGGCCTTGAGCAGGTTCAAATCAAGGATTCAGTGGACGACTCAGGGACACGAATTCGAAGCCGATGTCAGGATCGTGAACTTGGGCGCGATGGACATGGTGCTAGGAACTCGTTGGTTACGCGATCACCGCTTCAGAATTGATGTGGTGGCTGGAAACAGCGCCGAACTTGTCGAAGAAGGAAAGCGAGTTGTGTTGCAGATACCTGAACAGAACACCAATGAAGTCGTTCCTCCTTTAATAATACATGTAATTCCACAGATGCAAGCAATACCATTGGGATTCCGTGGTTATTGAAGCCCAATATATACATCATCATTTAGAGGAGATGCTACAGAGAGAATCAATCTCCTGATGCAGCTAATCGTCTTGCTCAACATATGTCTCCACATTCAGCTTCATTTTTACATTCATTTTACAAGAGCAGAGTAAATTATAAGAATACAATTTTATTTTCCTTCTGTCCCATGAACAGAATCGTTACTTGACAATGGTACAACTTTTTTATTTTTATTTGGAACGATACATAAAATTGAACAATAAGTACAACTCCCTCTAAGAATTGTAAGGAGATGCATGAAATTGGACTGAATCAAATTGGACTGCACAAGTTCGGGAAGATCTAGGAAACATTAGTATCTTTCCTAACAATATTATCTTTTGCTCGGGGCATTCGTGACAGGACTCGATGCATTTATCAGCAGACTCGAGTTCAATTCTTCTCATCACATCACCGTGCTCAAGGACATACCTTATCACTGTCATCTCATCTTCATGATGGCCGCTGAATCCAACGAATGAAAGTTCTTCGAGACTGGATGACAAACATTTAGGAATGTTTTTAGGGTTCACCCAACCTTCCTGGGGAACAGTCCCACCCCATTGAAGCTTTTCAAATTTTAGGACTTTCAGATTGATTGAGGAGTCAAGCATAACACTCACTGAAGTCCAATGAAAATATCCACATCTCTGATTTCCAGATGGGTTAATCTGTCAAACTTTATGGACAATGGCCGAGTGGCATTGCTGAGAGCTTTCATAAAACCTCCTTCCAAGCTCAGAAATTTTACATGGTTGACAACTTCAACCAACTTCACCATCCAATTGCACCATTTAGTAAAAAGTTCTTCACCATTAGGATACCCATGAAAACCAAGCTTCGCAACATTCAAACAAGTTGGCTTCTTTACCGAGATTTCTTTCAATTTGAGATGAGATAACTCGAGGGATTCCAGGGCAGGCGCATCTATTTCCAGGGTTCCATCACTCTGCTTCCGGAGAAGATTTACATTACCATTAGATATTTTGAGAAACCTCAGTGACGGGGAAGAAATTCTAATCAACGAGCAAGTCGTCGCAGTGGATCCATACTCTGATTATAAGAGTATGGATCAATGGGCAACCAGATAAAAGTTGAGAAACCGAATGATTTGATTCATAATCCACCAAATTTAGATGCAATTCTCCTAATTTAGGAAGAGGATGGGACTTTGAGCAAAACAGAACCCCCATGACAACCCTTCTAATCTGAGAATCTCTAGTGTCCCGCTACTGAAAAGGGTATCTGGTAATTGAATCACACCATTAACGCTACCCAGAGAAAGATCAAGAACTCGAAAATTTCGAGCGATTGCGTACCTTACCCAAGCTTCGATCCATTTCGTAACTCCCAGTCCGGCCCCTTGGAGACGAAATACCTCCAAGCGTCTCGAATCAAGTTCAATCAGAACTTTGTTAACGAACTCCACGAAGTTCATCTGCCTTCTCCTGATCAAGATCCACAAGGTCAAGCGTGGTTATTTTAGTCCAGACAAACTTCCACCTCTTAGATAAAGCGCTAGTCGCCACAACAGAATCGGTAGTGAGAAAGGAAAAGATATGGAAAAGTATCGAATCCGGTAAATTGCTGATCCGATCAACCGGAGCAACAGCTCCGGAGGACTCTGAGAGATTTTCCGTTGAGTTCTTCATTACATAATCGGATCAGTGCTCAGAAATTTCAAAGCGTTTCTAAAGTCCCAACCTTTGGCTGCTGGCTTACAACCCTATTGTAAACTAATACTGTTGGACTGTGGACGAAATCTCTTCATACTGTTGTTGGGTTTATGGGCTCCCAACTTTTGGAGGAAGAACCATTTTGTGTTCAGTTAATTTTGGCCCGTTTGACTGACTACTTAAAACTTGAAAGGTGTCGATTCGAGTTATCGGGTCAATTTCGTGCTAAGTATTCTACGTGATCAATAAATTTTTTTGGAAAAAAAATGTGATAAAACCTCAAATCTGGTTAATCGTGTCGTACTTTGTTGTGTCGGATTGCCTTTGTAAATTGTGTCGGAAATTGATATGATAAATTTAATGCAAGCAAAAAGATTTGTCTATTAAATTGCAAAAAGTCGAGGAGAAGTTAGCTAACCAGAACTGGAGAAGATTCAACCAAAGTTGATTGCACTTTTGATGATTTTAGCAGGGAAAATGGGGATTAAGTGGGTCACATTATCTACTGTCGTTCCGTTTAGCTTACTCGATATGAAAACAGTAGTAGCTGACTGCAGGATGGAGGAGACTGAACTGCTGCTTGTTGTTTATCAGGCTGTGAGCAGATTCAGATTAGGGCTTAAGTTCACAATTCAAGAACACGAATTTAAATCCGATGAGAGGAGCGTAAGTTTGGGAGGATATGACATGGTGCTAGACTGGACTGCGATTGGGTGTATTACGGCCAGTATGATGTTGACAAGCACCAGGATGGAGAGAAAGCTTCCTCTGTCAAAGAAAGGAAAGCCATACATACATGATACATGTTGCTGATTCCAGCTCAATCATCTGATTCTTCCCGTGTAGAGCATTATCATGTTTTACAGATAACTGAAGATCTGATACTCATTCAGCAATTTGTTTACAGTCGCGCAGTGAGAAATGATCGAATAATGTCTAAATGAGAGGTTAATTACCTTAACTTTATCATCAAAAAAGAACATTACTTATGAAAGTTTAGGATGATCATTGTTATTTCAAGGTGCTGCAACATTGTGCGAGAATGAAAAACAATGTAAAGATCGGGCTGGTATCATCTATAACGCTATTCAATGATTATGAGAATGTAATTTTCTTGAGTTATATTGTTTGTATCACGTCAAGTATAGGACATGTATCTGCGAAACAGATTAATGTGAGCTCATTACAGGACAAGTTACTGCATCGTCCTTTTGGTTCCTCATATTTGAACTGAATTAGAATAACATAATGTAAATTTAGAAAAACCAAACTTTGTAAATCTCCAGCTCAAGAAGCAAACAATATCATGCATATAAATAGCTTCGACAAACCAGTCAGGATCAGCACACTCCAACAGTTAAGAATTATTATGTGCTAAACCAAGAACCAGATTCGAGATCAGTTTCATCTGTCAGCAACAACCCAAAAGGTGTACCTAAACACAGATTGCTGGCTAGCATTTTGAGTCAAGTTAGGAAAACAAGCACTCATTACAGCAGCATATCCAATCCAAGCAAACCTAAAGATGGATCAGCAATAAGTCTTAACTAAGCTAGAGATGCAGATAAGTCATGATTTTACTGCTAGCAGAAACCGACCAAGTACTGATGAGTGATGACTACCAAAATATCCACAGGACCTAGTTAAAGTTAGGATTCTCCAAGAAGTGTTCAGCGGAGGCTTAGAGTTCGTAAGCTGGAAACTTAGCCTTAGCGGGGTCAACCATGTCCAGGAAAAGATAAGCCATCCCCCCAATTCCTTCAAACAGCGAGTAGGGATGATCTCCTCCACGCATCTTCCCTTCCGACAGAAGCTTCTGGCCTCTATCAAGCAAAAAGCAGACAAATGATTTCGCCTTGAAACGAAACTCGAGATATCCAGTGAGCTGGTAGAGAGCTTGGAGGACGTAGGTGTTCCCACTGATTCCATGACAGATCCCAACATGTTTGAGAAGTCCACGTGGCGACACAACTTTTATAGCTGCATTACCAGCAGCTTGCACAAATTCCAAATCACCAAAGAACTGGGGATAGAAAATTTAGAAGCTTCAGGAATTAGTTTTTCTGATAGACCAGAAATTTTTACTCTATATATGCTCTGACACCATCACATAACAAAATAAGGCACAAAGTTAGAGCTCCTCACGGTTAGCAATGATCTACATAATAGAAACAATTCTAACATGAACAGGCCTGCCAAGTTATGTGTAAATAGTTCTGCAATACAACCAGGATGAATGATGCAAAAGTTTCAACAAAGATTGAGGTCAGAATGTAGAGAAGTCAATGAAGATCAGAAGCAGGCAAGCAGTTGGGGGTAGCACGTGAGTACCATACAGTTCTATATTTAAAGTTCCACAGAAAAGATCAATCATGTTCCTAGAAGAGCACAATGAATGTTTAATGAGCAGAGCAAAACTCTTAGTTATGTATGTGCACGAGTAATCAGAGATCCTAGTAATATGCAAAGGAGATCTACAAGTCCAAATCTTAATAGATTGGAGGAAAATCTGTAGGAAATTAAAGGCCAGTGTTTCATGATTCTCACTCTGTACCAAGGTGTTGTTCACAACAATTTTTTAGTGTTACCTTAGCAGCCTTTACGAATGTAAGTGCGATTCCAGGGGCTCCATGACACCAATGCACAAGTTCATCACTCTTATCTTCTTCACATGATGGGTAGTTACCACTGGGGAGTTCATTCCTTATCATGTAAAGGAGAGCCCTTTTGACCTCATCCCGCTGATTTTTCTGCAGATTGAAGTGCATCAAAACATGCATGATTCCAGCCAATCCATGAGCAGCACCCCAGCACTTCTTGCCATTCCACTCAAACATCAAAGGACTTCCATGCTTCGTTCCCATTTTTCGCCCGTTGCTGAAGATTTTTTCAATAACAGGTGCCTGGCCATTCAATGGGTCATTATCTCAACCACAGGGCATATTGAATGAAAGCTAAGCCTTACCATTCCTTTGGACAAGATAACTTCTCCGCCTAAATTGTAGTTGATGAAGAGACATGCCCACAAATAACCAGCTCTTCCATGCATTAGTCCATCTGGAAGATCCTCTGTCAATTCAATCTGTTCACAGAAGCAAAAGTATAAGAAATATGTAAATTTCTGAACTGACAGAGAAGTTATAGGTTTAACCACTACCTAGAGGCAATCCATGCCACTAACCTTTCTGAATTTGCTGACATAGCTATCCATCAGCTTAACATTCTTCATGTTTTTCGCAACCACAGCACCAAGGGCACAGACGCCAGCTCTCCCGCAAATGAATGAAACATCCCTAATAACATGTGACAAAGTTGGAAAATATTTTTAAAGCCTTGAACTGCCAAAGGAAAAGAGGATTCTCCTAGAGAATTAAGGATAAAGAAAAACAGAACTCTCTCTCTGTCTCTGATTCCCCTATGTTTTCCAACTTTTATTTGCGAATGGAGACATAAATGAAAACAAATCACAACAAACTCAAACAAATCAGGATTCGGGTTCTTCTTAGTTTCCATTCAAAACGAGAAACGAAAGAAAAGGCGGCATTTTTCGGGTTCCCCAAACAAATCCAGTAGCATTACATAACCCAGAAACCAAAACTCACAAAGAATATGTAAAATTAAGCTTGATGTACAAGATTTATGTAAGAAAAATTAGGGAAATCAGATACCTGGAATCGACAGAAGCAGAGTCACAGGCCTTGATGATCTCGGAGCAGATACGAAGGTCGTCTTGGTTGCCGGTGACTTGAAAGGACTTCCACAGCAAAAATGCAGTTCCAAGAGCTCCAGAATAGAGAGAGAAATCACCAATTTTTTGGCCCTGAAGCGAATTCCATGTCTCATCAACCACGGTTTTCTTCAGCTCCAAAGCCGCCGCCTTCAACCTCTCAGCAACACGATCATAAGTGATGTGGAGCAGCATGAGCAGATGCTCCTCCGACCCGGGTTCTGGAACCTGGTCCTTCATCTCGAGTTCCTCTTCGAGATCCGGATTTTCGAGAAGAAACTCAAAGAACATCTTCGGAAAGCTCCTCAGCAACATTTTTTTTTCTCTTCTTCCCTTTACTCCCAACTTCTTGCGGCTCTGTCCGCTGTAAAGCCTCCTATTCTCTTAAACCCTAATTCTCTTTGCCACCTGTGAGCTAGCCGTACAGCTATATAGCACTGTAAATTTTGCGGGTTTGGAGGATATGAATTGTACACCGGTTTTTGCTTCTGTATGAACTATGAAGGTACAAACGTTGTAGCACATGGTACACACTAACACAGAATCTGTACAAGTTTTTATTGCATACTGATTTTTGTTTTATTTTGAGTCAATGGAGTGTAAAAGTAACTTTTTTTTTACTCGGAACATGTGTTACCATCGACAAAAAATGAGAGGGTAGGTATGCAATAATAATTAAAATACTTATCGATTATATTTTGCTTCAAATTATAATAATATTATAGTCAGAAATTGGAATACGAAATTATAAGAATTCGTAGGGTAACAACGCATCAAGAAGACCCATTTCTTATTGTAACTCTTCCTATCAATGCATCTCTAAGATTTTGAGTGATAGATAAAGTACAATATTGCCTACAATAAGAAATGGGTTGTTGTTTTACTAGTAATGAAATATCTCATAGTACAATTTTATCCACAATATAAAGAACTCTTTCTAGTTAGTAAACCTTTGTTTAGCGGATGATTTCATAATTGTTTGCAAGGCAGAGGTGGAAACAATTAAATTTATTAAGAGCAAGTTAGAAGAGTTTGCCGATATTACAGGACTCCATTCAAACATTTACAAATCTCAATTGTATTGTGGAGGAGGTTTAGATAATGAGAGAGAGAGAGAGGTATTGTAGAACATTATTGGGTTTGAAAGAGGTGGCTTTCCCTCAAAGATAGACAAAACTTGATTGCAAAGTAATGGTTGATAGGATTGCAACAAGGGTGAAGAGCTGGTCTTCCAGACATTTATCGTATAGCTAGTGACATGTAATAGTTGATATATACCATGTTGCATATGCACTCTTACTGGGCATCTGTTTTTATTTTGCCAAAAGGGGCGATATTTAGGGAATTGAAAGAAGAGATCAAATGGTGATTTGGTGTCGATTGTATGGAAGTTGATGGAGTTGAGATAAATTGCAATGGGTGATTAAGTTTTGTTGAGCAATAAAATTTTACCATTTATCTAAAAAAACAAATTAAGTAGCATTCGTTGGGTGTGATATTAACTTCTGGTTGATACTTATCCAAACAACATGTTTTGAATGTCCATCAGAATATTCCTCACATTATATATTCATGATTTTGTCAAAATCAACCAAAATATAACACCTCATATTTTTGCAGTATTTAGTAGCATATCTCTTCGTATAGGAACTGAACTAGGTTTTGTTTATGTCTTAATTCATTGCATGCAAAATCTTAAATACTTATGATTATATTAAATAGAATGCGAATGATATAGAATCTACATAAAAAGTTGGAAAAAGCATATTGAATGTTAATTTCTAGTTAGATAAAAGAATTGATCCTATTTCAAAAGACAAAAAAATTCTTCTTTAACTAAAATTCTTATAATGTTCATTCATACATTTTAAAATATGAAAATACTTGACTGCATATTGTAATTCATTAAAACAATAAGCTCAACTCAGATTAGATTTGAACTCAATAATACAAGTGAAACTAAACACAAGCTGCACCAAGCTAGTACTTGGATTCACACTTTCCCCTCTATAATATATGTGTAAGGTGTTTACGGTCCTAATTATTACAAAAAAAATTCTATGAGCTCTGGAGGATCACTTTCAATAAGTCTTTTAACATTGTTTTTTCTATTCACAACTTAGGTGTCAAAAGCCTACATGGCTTTAAGAAACATTATGAAGTCCTTTATCAATTGGTCCGAACAATTAATTGAATCATTAGTTGAATTAATAGGCATTCCACAAGACGGTGGTAACTGCAAGTTACTTGAATCTTAGAGAAAATGTTATCTTTTAAAATGGACTTACTCAAAATGAATACGAAAGTTTGTTTTAGGAGAATTTTAAGTATTGAGTTTTATTCAACATTTAGCAATCTTGTTTACTTTTCGATAAACTGAAAAACAGGAAAATATATGAGAAAAGGAATAAATATTGGATTCATTTTTTTTTATGTAGTGACACTTTTGTTGTTTACAGGTCATGTGATGTATTTGTCAAAATTTGAAAATATTGGGACATAATCAACCAATGTTAAAAGTTTTGAATGAGTTCGCAAACATGTAATGTACTTGCCGATATTCCCTATAACAAATTATCTTCGAATAGTCTCAAACCAAACCTTAAATATTACAGCCAATTTTCTACATGATCATTGGTTCTTGGAATTTAAAGAAAACTAGATGTTATTTGAATTAATAAAAATTTTGTTGCTTTGAGATTTTTTTTGGGATGTCTCTGTTAATGCCAGTAAACTTTTATGTTTTGTCGAAATTGTTGGCGTTTATTTATTTATTTTTTTTTTGGGGTCTTCTTTGTTAAGTTGTCGAAGGCTAAATTTTGTTGTTTTATATAGTTTTCTCATGTTTTCTGATGCTGTAATGGTTAAAAATTTAATCATTTTCGTTTTTTGACGTAAAGTCCTCATTTGTTAGTATTTACATAAATCATAAGTTTTTTTTTTTTACTTTTCATAAAAAACGTATTTATAACCACTTGTTTATCTGCCTTAAAAAGGTTACGAAAAATGCGACGAAAGATTGATGTAAATGAAACACAAAATGTACTGAATTATCAGATTCCATGAGCAATTTCAAAGGTGCGGAATGAACTTTATGTAATTACCCTCAACTTTATGTTAAAGTGGAAAAACAAAGGCAGATGGCAAAATTGCTTGTGGATTCCATTGCTGCAATTCTGTATTTATACAAGAAAAGTGACAAGCCGTCGTCACAACTAGTCAAATAAATTCACCTACTTAACACTAGTATAGTGGAAAATAGGGTCGTACCCACAGAGAAGGAATACTAATTATCAGGTATAAATTACTCCTATTATTATCCTTATCCTTATACTTAATATAAAGGCACAGTTGGCAAGAAATTAAATGCCCAAAAAATATTCAGGGCCACCTTCAAATTGATCTCGTCTATCGGTTTGGTACGATCCAGCGGCCAATATTAAGTCACTTATTAGGGGCAAAAACAAAATTTCACAAATTTAGTATACTGTTTGGTTCGTTTTTTCGTTCACTTATAAAGGCACAGTAGGCAAAAAAATTAAATGTCAAAGAAATATTCAGGGCCACCTTCAAAGCGATCTCGTCCGGCGGATGAGACTGATCCGACGGTCAATGTTAAATAATTAATTAGGGGCAAAAACAAAATTCCATTAATTTAGAGGATAAGCAACCGTAAGTTTTTGAAGATAATAAGTAAAAATAAAAACCCCCAATAAACAAACGTAATTTCTTGAGGGTAAAAATTAAAAACCCCCATGAAGAAAACGAAGTCGTCCCTTTCCTCTGCCTAATTTTTCCCTGGAAAACCCCCAACCAAATAAACGACGTCGTGTCTTCATCTTCACCAGCCTAAACAAAACTCCTCCCTCTCCTTGTCGCTCTCATAAATACATCTTTCCGACTTTCTCTCCGGCCACCCTCCGACGAAAATCAGCCCATCGCCTCGTTCCCACCGTCACCACAACACCGTCGGCGGCGTTTCCACCGACACCATGGCCTCGGGCCGTGGATTTATTCTGGCAAATCCACGGCCCAACAAGAAAAAATTTCCAATTTTCTTCTTCAAATAGGATTAGGAAATCACTATAAAATTTTTTTTTCCAATTCCAAATCGTCCCATGATTTCAGAATCCCAATCGGATTATAACTTCTAAGTCCACAACCGGTCTATAAAAATCCCAACAATCCCCACAAATAGAACCATCCCAAGCTCTCTCTACAGCTTTCTAACTCCTGGCTCGTAACAGGTAAATTTCTCCTTCTTTGCCACTATTTTTGGACGAATATTTTTGCAACTCCCGGCAACTATCCACTGTACCTGTGTTGCATCAAGTAACTAGCGTAGGTTCAATTATTTTTCATTCTAGATCACTATGTTTTTCCTTCAGACTTTAACAAATTTAGGATTATCGTTGGTCTGAATTGTTCGTGTTCATGATTGAGTGTTCTGACCTGCTATGAGTTTGAAGTTGTTGATCGATTTTCCATGTGTTTGATTTTGCTCCAACTTAATTTCGATTCCATGCTTTTATTTGAAACTTCAGTTTAAATTTGAGTGTTGATCAGCCTTATTTTTCCCCGTTGGAATCCTTAAAGTTTATAGCTTGATCACTGTGTTATTATCGTTGCGATTGTTTAATGAGATGTTGCGTGTTCCTGCTGTTATTTTTGGACGAATATTTTTGCAACTCCCGGCAACTATTCACTGAACCTGTGTAGCATCAAGGTTCACATGAATATTTTTGTTTGGATTTTTAGTAGTAATTCCAACAGACACCGTGAAGTCTGCCTACGTCATTGCTATTGTTCTTGTGATTATTTCAGTTTTGACTAATTAAATCATGAAGAATCATAGTTACAAGGTTGATTCTCGTGTAGTTTGCATGACCTGCTGCCCATTTTGATTCTCTGATTATTGTTGTAATTGATTTGATGTGCTGTTGTTGCTCTTGTATGTTGCATCTCCTGGTTCTTTGTATTTTTCAGAAATCAAGAATTATATATATACTTTTTAGTTCAGTCCTTTGTGTTGTTGATGTGATATTGTTCTCAGTTCTTGCTTCCTTGCTTCTTTTTTATTTATCTTCAAACAATTGACAAGGAAATTGTAATTCATCAACAATTGAAAATAATCGATTGAGCTTCTTTTTTGGTTTTCCTGATTTCAATGCGTTTGGGTATGTTGTTCCTGGTCACTCCATTGTTACATGTAGCTCTGCGTTTGGTAGGCTTTTATGATTTTTCGGTTATTTCCCATGTTGCCTTTTCAGTAAAACTATGCGTGCTGAATAGCCTACATGGCTTTTGATGTGTTAAACTTATCTCCTAACTATTCCATGAAAACAGATTTCTGCTCCTCTAAAGGGCAACCTCGTGCATCTCCCGCAAAAGAAATTTTCCCAAATCCAAGCTTTTTTCTTCTTACACGGGTATTTTTTTGGTCTTATTGTATTCCTGAACTCATATTACAACTGCAAAAAAAAAAAAAAAAGAGAATCCTTGATGACATACCTTAACACTATGGTTTTTGTTGCTTCCTGCATATTTGTTTAGAATGGCTCCTCATTAGGATCTCCTCATTCACTGGTTTCTTTGCTCCCAACGACAATTATTTAAG